CCCTCTGCGGGGCGACTGGCAGGGTGGTCAGGGGGCCCCCGCTGGCACCCACTTTGGCTGGTCTTGGGCCTGCGGGCTGGGAGCAGCTCCTGTGTTGTCTTCCCCCTGGTGGTCAGTGTGCATCATAGCGACTGGTTGTTCCACTGGTGGTTCCACCATTCGGTCAGTTTGCATATTAGGCTTTTATTATATAGGATTATTGCATTATTTTCCATACAAAAGACTGTAAACCTACTTTGCCCCACCCTGTATTTATTGCACCTCTCCTGCTTTCACAGGGCCAGAGTGAAAGACTTAACCATTCCAATAGGCCAAAGTTTAAGCTTTATAGACTACACCCTTTCTTCTTATGTTTTAAAAAATTAAAAAAATATCCTTGTCAGAGGACATGTGGAGAGGGAGAAGGGGAAAGGGAGAGAGGGGGAGAAGGGGAGAGGGTGAGAGGGATACTGATGTGAGAAACATCGACCAGCTGCCTTCTGTACGCTCCCCAACTGGGGAATGAATCGGCAATCCAGGCATGTGCCCTGACCGGGAATCAAATCAGCAACCTTTCTGTGTACAGGACGGCACTCAACCAACTGAGCCACTCTGGCTGGGCATCTTTTTATGTTTTTACCACTAAATCCACTTTATAATATACAGGTCTAGCCAGTCCTCATGGACACACCATCCTAAGAACAGACATATCAAATAAAGGCAATGCAGCAGAAGACTGATTAGAATAAATAATTATTTTTGATTTTTATTTTACAGTCAGTCAAGGTAACAAGAGATTACCCTACAAGGAAATAAATGCCATGGTAAATACCCCAGAAAAATGTGCCCATGAAGTCAAGACAAATATACTGTAGCCTCTGTCCCTCTTATACATCACAACTGCAGCTACTCGAGGTAGTGGAAGGAAAGAGTAGGCACTGATTCCCTCCAAGAGAAGGTCCAATTCCTTTTATGGGCATTGGAACACCACCTAGAAGGGAAATCTAAAACCACTTATTAGGATTAATTTGTTTATAGGTTATCACATGAGCAAGCTTAGTTCTCCTGGTGAAATTCAGGGTTTATTTGGCATTGCAACATATGAATTACCATTACTGTGAAGTGATCCTGCAAAGCCCTAGGAAGAAAGAATTATTTTCAAGAAGTGACATGATTAAGGAGGTCATAGGTGAAATTGCTACTGGCTCAACAGCAAGGAAAGAATTTAGGGTTAGCACATGGAGTCTTAGCACCAGCCCAGTGAAACATTACATAGTTGTTGAAACTTAAATCTCAGTACCTTTAAGGTAAGGACTGAAATGGCCCTCAGTACGTGCTGTTTATAAAGCATTTCCCATATTCTGCCCCAGTAATTCTCAACTAGTGAGACTCAAAGAGAATTCAAAGGAAGCACCAGTGTTCCTACATCCTGTTTCATCATGATATACAATACAAGCAATTCTTTAAGAGCAAGAAATACTAAATCAGTGGCTCTGAACCTTCTGGCCCTTTAAATACAGTTCCTCATGTTGTGACCCAACCATAAAATTATTTTCGGTGCTAGTTCATAACTGTAATGTTGCTACTGTTATGAATCATAATGTAAATATCTGATATGCAGGATGGTCTTAGGCGACCCCTGTGAAAGGGTCGTTTGACTGCCAAAGGGGTCGCGACCCACAGGTTGAGAACCACTGTACTAAATCCTTCTTATAAAAAAACAGAATAGTTACCTCTTTCTCTCTCCCATATTCTAAGTTTCAGTAAAAAGACTAGTTATAGGCCTAGTCTAGATTAGTAGGGCCTAGAACACTGGCTTTTGGAGACTTTTTCTAGTACCTTCCAGAGGTTCAGGAATCAAAGTAGATTTGTTACTGTTGATTTACTTTGTGGCCCAATGAAATTTTACAATGTTAAGGTTTAAGCTTTGGTGACATGTTCTACATGAACATGGCAGGTTTCTGCCTTCATAATCCTAAATATGTAAAAACTAGAGGCCCGGTGCATGAAATTCATGTGGGGGGGGCGGTGTCCCTCAGCCTAGCCTGCACCCTCTCTAATCTGGGACCCCTCAGGGGATGTCCGACATCCCTCTCACAATCCGGGACCGCTGGCTCCAACCACTTGCCTGCCTGATTGCCCCTAACCGCTTCTGTCTGCCAGCCTGATCACCCCCTAACCACTCCCCTGCCAGCCTGATCGATGCCCAACTGTTCCCCTGCCAGCCCGATCGCCCCCAATTGCCCTCCCCTGCCGGCCCGGTCTCCCACAACTGCCCTCCCCTGCCGGCCTGATCGCCCACAACTGCCCTCCCCTGCTGGCCATCTTGTGATGACATGGGCACAGCCATCTTGTGATCAATGGGGGCGGCCATCTTGTGCAAGGGTATGACGGTCAATTTACATATTACCTCTTTATTATATAGGATATGTAATAACTATGTAAAAGTAAAATTTATTTCAGTCTAACAGCCTCTTCTCCTTCATTCTAAGGCTACAACTGAGAACCTTTTGTAAGGTAAAAAGATATGATTTGCTGAAGGTGATGATCAGGTGAATAAGGCTCAGGTTCAGTGAGATACATTAACCAGCAATACCCTCCCAAATGAAATCTGTGTTTGTAGGTTGTAGGCAATACCATTACTGGGCATTGAAAATGCGTTTTATGGAAGTAGTCTTGAAGTAGGGGATAAAAACAAAAAACTTGATTTTGTTGAAAGGAATGCATGAATTTCCTTACAGGTAACTACAACAAGGTTTATTTGAATTATATTTTAAAGAAATAAATGGGTGAAATTTAGCATTTAAAGTCCCAGGAAAAAGATCTGAGAACAATGGCTGCTTTCATAACTGAAAAGGGGGTGTTCACCCATTACTTAAAATAAAAATAGTTTTAATTCAGAATGAAGGGCACACTTACATTTGAAACATTTTTGCTTTCACTGTAGTGTGTTTAAATAAAAGCCAAAGGACACATTGTTGCATATTTCCAAAAACAAAAATATAGCTGGGAGAGTCTCCAAAGAATAGATATGGAGAACTCTGATTTAAGAGTCCAACAGGAGCCATGGGTAAAAAGGGTTTATTCTGCCTGTGACAGTGGATGGAAGCCAGGGACTTTATCAGCTTGTGGCAATCTTTAGCACCCTCCTCCTGTGTGTACCAAATGAATTTCAGTGGTAGACACAGTGACTCTACAGAGTTCTTCTGAGCCAGCCCCCATTAGCAACTTCCTCTATAGGCATGCCAGGCACCAGTCATATTGCCAGATCCTCACTGAGGCTATGCCTTCTCTTCTTCTTTTTAAAAAAACATGTTTTTATTGATTTTAGAGAGAGAAGAAGAGAGAGGGATAGAGAGACAGAAACATTGATTGGCTGCCTCCTGCACACCCTCTACTGGGGATTGAGCCTGAAACCCAGGCATATGCCCTGACCAGGAATGGAACCAGTGACCTCTTGATTCACGGGTCGACAATTAACCACTGGGCAAACACTGGCTGGGCTATTCCTTCTCTTATCTTGGTTCCATGGGTTTCCCTTTTCACCTTTCCTATGTGACTCAAAGACCCAGAAATGAGGTGGTGTGGCCATAAACAATGGTGCCCTGGATCACTCTTTTCTGATCTTATAAGCTTTGGCTCCAGTAGGGTTCTTCAGCCTAGATTACTTTAATTCTGAGGCACCTCATACGAGGTTTTCATACATTAGATGTTCCAGCTATAGTTAAGTGGAATTACAGATTGAAATAACCTTGTGATAGCCATTCTCTGGCATGTACTCTATACTTCAGCCACACCATTGTGTTCTTACCGTGTTCTAAATTTATATACCTTTGTTTTTGCATATGCCTTTTCCTCTCTATAGATGGTCCTTTCTCCTTTGTGTGGGTGGCAATCTCATTCATTTTTGAGGACCCAGTTTCTACTGTGCTGCCTTCCTGAGTTTTCTAGGTAGTTAATCACCCCTTCCTTTGTGCTCCCAACGCACTTTGCTCATATTGCTAATGTAAGAGGATTAAAACACATGAGACCGGGTTCCTAGTTTTCCCTTGCCTCCTTTCCCTTTCCACCTTCAGTGCCACCTGTGAACCTGGCCCAACTGACAAAGTAGAAGGCTTGAAGAATAATTGTTGAAAGTAATTGAATAGTTATCAGGATGGGACTGCACTGGCATTCTTGAGCAAAAGCCAGGAAAACTCTAATAGCCTTCACCCAAAAGTTTCACAGCAATTAATAACAAAAACTGCTATCTGAGCCCAAATCCAGGTAAGTACCCAAGTCAAAGTAGGATTGGAGTATGGTAGACACTCCCTGATTGCATCAGCTGAATAATACCTTTAACTGCTATTGAGTCACTGAAATTATTTTCTTTTCCTATTAATACATACTTTGCAAAGGTACACAACTAGTGAGTGGCAGAATTGGCTTTAAACCAGGGTCTGTCTGGCTCTGGAGCCCAGGTTCTCAATTACTATAGCCTGTTTGTTAGATAAATGAACTGTCATCCTGAACTGCTCCTGACAGTTTTGTATAGTA